TTCCTTCCTTCCTTCCTTCCTTCCTTCCTTCCTTCCTTCCTTCCTTCCTTCCTTCCTTCCTTCTTTCCTTCCTACCTTCCTCCCTCCCTCCTTTCCTCTCTTCCCTCCTTCCCTCCCTCTCTCCCTCCGTCTGTCCCTCCCTCCCTTCTTACTGTCCGTCCTTTCTTTCTTATTTTTGAGATGGAGTATCACTTTGTCACCCAGGCTGGAGTGCAGTGGTGTGATCTCGGCTCACTGCAACCTCCGCCTCCTGGGTTCAAGCAGTTTTGTTCCTCAGCCTTCCAAGGAGCTGGGATTACAGGTGCCTGTCATCATGCCCAGCTAATTTTTTTTTTTTTTTTTCAGTAGAGACAGGGTTTCACCATGTTGGCCGGGCTGGTCTCGAACTCCTGGCTTCAGGTGATCCACCTGCCTCGGCTTCCCAAAGTGCTGGGATTATCAGTGTGAGCCACCACGCCTGGCTTTTAACTTTTTTTTTGAAAAGGTCTCGCTCTGTCACCCAGACTGGAGCACAGTGGCACAATCTCAGCTCACTGCAGCCTTGACCTCCCAGGCTCAAGTGATTCTCCCACCTCAGCCTCCTCAGTAGCTGGGACTACAGGCAAGCACCACCACGCCCAGCTAATTTTTGTAGTTTTTGTAGAGATGGGGTTTCACCATGACGGCCAGGCTGGCCTCGAATTCTTGGGCCTGAGCCATCCTCCTGCCTTGGCCTCCCAAAGTGCTGGGATTACAGGCATAAACCTCCATGCTGGCCTCTCTTAACCAGTAAGTTTTAGGCTTTTCAGCTAACATGTAGATTATCTAACGCAGTGAAGGAGGTTTGTCTTTTATTACCCAGAGCACTTGGTGCAGGAGGCAGCTCTACCTCCAGGCGGGGTTTGTTGGGAAAGGATTCAGATGAGAAGTGATGCTTGAGCTGAGTCTTAAAGGAGGTGTTTTCCAGGTAAAGGAGGCAGGGAAAGAAAACCCAGGGGGAGTATGGAGGTGAGAAAGAGGCTAGTGGAAGGTGCAGGTGCATAGTCTGGCTGTGCTAGTGCCAGGGCGTGGGTGATGGTTCCCAGCTGGAAAGAAGGCTAGACTTGGAGCTGGGAACCAGGTACCAAGTGCCCTATGGCCCCTGCAGGTATGTCCTGCGGCCAACCAAGATCGTTTGGAAGATTTTAAGCCGAGGGTGAGGGGTAGGATGGACTCAGATTTGGGGACCTCAGTGGGGAACCTGATCAGATTTGCTTTTTGGAAAGTGACTGTGACAGAAACGTGAGCCATGGGTAAGTCTTCAACCTGAGCCTCAGTTTCCTCATTTCCCCAGAAGGAGCAATAGATGTGCATGAAGACTGGAAGAGATGATGTATGTGAAAAGTGGTATATGTCAACTATTATATGACTTTGAGTCATGATTCGGGTAACATGCTTACTGTCTCAAGAAGAGATCAGTTTTGTCATCTGGGGCAAAACACACATGCTTGGTATTGTTTCTTGATTTATACAGTTGTCTGTTTCCTTAAACTTTTTTTTTTTTTTTTTTAATGGGAGCAGCTACTACTACTTTTTGTCTGTTTCAGCTTAAACTCTGTTATAAATTGGAAGGACCGAGTTGTTGAACATGGATTGTAGAAAAGGAAAAGAAAGTTTTTATTTTTTGCCTTGTTGTGCATTCATTCTTTCAAAAGCCATTTAGAGTAAGAAACATTTTCTATCGTCTCATAGTAAGTAGCAAGTCAGGTGCCTGAAGACCCCATCATATTTTACTAAAACTCTCTACTCCAAAAGAGCATCAGTTCTGTGTAGGTGAATAGAAATCTGGTGTGTAGGCTGGGCACGGTGACTCACGCCTATAATCCCAGCACTTTGGGAGGCCGAGGCAGGTGGATCACCTGAGGTCAGGAGTTTGAAACCAGTCTGGTCAAAATGGCGAAACCCTGTCTCTACTAAAAATACAAAAATTAGCTGGGCATGGTGGCACACACCTGTAGTCCCAGCTACTCCAGAGGCTGAGGTGGGAGAGTCCCTTGAACCTGGGAGGTAGAGATTGCAGTGAGCCGAGATCGCACCACTGCACTCCAGCCTGGGTGACAGAGTGAGACTCTGTCTTAAAAACAAAAACAAACAAAAAACAAACCTGGTATGTAAATAGCCAAATATAGAGACATAAAGGAGGCATCTTATAATGTGTGATTATTCATCTGATTTTATTTAGTGTGCTATTAAGAAGGACCCTTGCTTCTAAAGAAAATTAGAACATTTTCAAAGCTTGCGTCTAAATCCTGTCTACTCAGTGATGGAGTGACTCAGGAAACCACATCACCTCCCCAAGCCCCAGTCCCTGTGAAATGGGGAGTGTAGTAAGACCTACTTCCCAGGGCTGTTGGGAGGATCAGGTGAGACAATCTGATTGAAGCACTTCGACCAGTGCCTGATAAATAACATGCATTCGGTAAGTTATTTTTAGGCCTGGGATAGGAATAACTTCAGCTGCGAAAGCTAACACTAGTCTACCCTGATGATGGCATTAGATACTTATTTTCAAGTTTCTTCTGAAGACAAATTTTAATTGATACTTGAAAAACAGGAAGAGCATGAAAAAGAGGACTCAGGGTAGTCTCTAAAGGCTGTTGAGCCTGAAGAGGTACTGGAATGCGGTGCCTGCCTTGTGTTGCAGGCTTCAGCAGTTTAGGCCCAGATGACTGTGGGTCCCACCTGCCTGACAGCAGGGCACACAGGTGCTGAGCAGTTGGCCACTACTGGGCTGTGAAAACAGCATGAATGGGGAATGGGGATTGTGGGCAAAGTAATACAGTCCACGTGTTTGCAGGTGGGAAAGTCAAACTCTGTCTTTATTCTTTTACCATTTTATTTGGGATAGGTAGCAGCACCACCTGGGAAGACCCTTGGGAAGGAGGAGAAGGAATCTGTTGGATGGAAATCTTACCTTTGAGCATCAGTTATATTTAATGCCTAGTTTAAGCCCTTTTCATATTAGACTTTCCAACAGCAAGTCAAGGAAAGTCAAGGACTGGAAGGAAGATGGGCTCAGAGGAAAGGTTCTTTTTTTTTTGGAGATGGATTCTCGCTCTGTCACCCAGGCTGGAGTGCAGTGGCGTGATCTTGGCTCACTGCAATCTCTGCCTCCTGGGGTCAAGCGATTCTCCTGCCTCAGCCTCCCAAGTGGCTGGGATTACAGGCATGTGCCACTATGCCTGGCTAATTTTCATATTTTTAGTAGAGACGGGGTTTTGCCATGTTGGCCAGACATGCCATGAGGTCAGGCTGGTCTCGAACTCCTGACCTCAAGTGATTCGCCTGCCTCGGCCTCCCAAAGTCCTGGGATTACAGGTGTGAGCTACCGTGCCAGGCTGGAAAAGTTCTTTTAAGAGTTCCACAAAGTGGCCAAAAGTTTGTTCTTGCATTTCATCATGCATATGCCTTGGAGTTATGTTTTTGGAAACGACTTAAGAAAACAAACTTTCCAGGTAATATGTAGCTGGTTCCCATCTTTCTAGCATCTCTGTCTTTGACTGATGTGACGCCATACGTTCCTGACAGTTAACGTCGGCTCTGGTAGTGGTCTGATGCCAAGTACAGTCATAGCTCAGCCATGAAATAGGGCCTTCTAGATAGGCCAGATTCAGTGCCCTTCCCAACAGATGCCTCTCCATCCCCCACACCTCCTGATTCCACCAAAATGAAGAGGAAGCATGTCTTGAGTTGCCCACTTCTTCTGCATCTGATCAGGCACATGTCAAGAATGTTGGCTGGTGATGGGCTCAAGGCACAGCCCACTTCACTGAGTCGTGCATGCGTGCAGGCTTGATTGACACTGGCAAAATCTGTAAGGATATTTCTAGACATTCTAAGTGATTGACTCCTCTGAGGAAATGAAACATTAAAAAAATATATATATATACATGTATATTTAATTTTTTTTTTAAACCACAATTGAAAAAATTCTTTGCCACTGAGTAGAATTAAATCTGACAGGAAACCCTAGGAGTTTTTATTAGTACCATTATTGTTTTCTTTGGCTCCATGTATTATGTCAGTAAAATGACAAAAAAAAAAAAAAAAGGAAAAAAATTGTAAAAGGCAAATATTTTGTACAAAAATACAAAGTTTTAAAAGCTCTTTAAGTATATTTCATATTATTACTAAGAGTTGGCCTATATATCTGTATGTCTGCATATTTTTCCTACACTTGGGATTTTTAGAAACGTATGGTACTGTTTACACAGTATATGCTTAAGTTCTTCCTATAACTCAACAATCAATGATAGCCTTTTTCTGATTGTAGTGTTCCATACTTCGGAAGATATAATTTGAATAATTGCATGATTACTGACGGAGGAAAATCTATGTGATTCAGTCCATGTGCACAATGGATTTCAGCATATCACCCTGGGGAACATTTTAGTTCCCAAGTCTTTGGGTAATGATGGATGGTAAAACACTAGCTGTCAATTTTTTTTCAGTAATTGGTTTTCAGTGCTTTTTTTTTTTCAATCTGATAAGAAGGTGATGCAATTAGAAAGGAGTGTCCTTTGCCTTTGAGAGCTGAAAATTTGCTCATGTGATTCCATCACAGTCCATTATAATGCAGATGACAGTACTAAAAGAGAGAAATAAGAATGGGCATTAGTTTTTCTTAAATAATAAAGTTAAAGTGCAATTCAAAAAAAAGAAACGTGTATTTTTATAGAACAGTGTCTAAAATACATCATTCAACAATGCTTATATTTTCAAAGAAACATCTAGAAGATCTTATTCAGATGAAAAGCTAAGTTCCATTTTGAAAGAGCCTATTCTGGGGAAGCCTGGTCCCTACTCAAATCCCAAATGGCCAAACAAAGCATACAAAAGACAAATCTGAGTTACTTGTCACCATCAATTATAATCTCTTGTTTAGATATCTGTGTTTTTCCCCCTCAACTGACCCAGCTGTGAGTTCCTATGTGTCTTAAGGTCCCTAGCACTTGGACCAATGCCTGACACATCAAAGGTGCTCAATAATTGTCTGCTGAATGGCAATATGGATAATTTATGCCCCAGTTACTTCCAAAAATAGTTTGACCAAAATATATTTGAGGTTTTTGTTTACTGCCAACTTTTTAAATGAACAGCTTTATTGAAATACAATTCACAAATTGTATAATTCACCCATTTAAAGTATATAATTCAGTGGCCTTTGGTATATTCACAAAGTTATGCAATTTAGAACCAATCTAGTCTAATTTTAGAACATTTCCATCACCCCAAAAAGAAACCCCATACCCATTTGCCTTCATTCCCCATTTCCCCCATCCCCTATCACAAACTTTTAATCTCATTCTGGTGAAGAAAACGAAGATGCCGCATGCCAAAGAGGGTCGTGTGTTAAATGAAGCTGTAGGTACACAGCCTTTGAAGTCAAGAAAATCTCCACAAGCTACTTTGGCTTATGAGCTTATAAGCAGCACAGACGATCTCTCTCTATTATGGATCACAGGATCTGGCCTATAGTAGATGCTCAGTAGATACTCGTGGAACTGAATGCGTAGCCACCTGGATTAGCTGTGTATGAATGTCTATGAAAAAGGACTAATATTGGTGCCCTTCCTCCCTCCCTCCCTCCCTTCCTTCCTTCCTTCCTTCCTTCCTCCCTCCCTCCCTCTCTCTTCTTTCTTTCTTTCTTTCTTTCTTTCTTTCTTTCTTTCTTTCTTTCTTTCTTTCTTTCTCTTTCTTTCTTTCTTTTTCTTTCTTTCTTTCTTTCTTTCTTTTCTTTCTCTCTCTCTCTCTCTTTCTCTCTCTCTCTCTCTCTCTCTCTCTTTCTCTCTTTCTCTCTTTCTCTCTTTCTCTCTTTCTTTCTTTCTTTCTTTTTCTTAGACAGAGTTTCACTCTTGTTACCCAAGCTGGAGTGCAATGGTGCGATCTCGGCTCACTGCAACCTCTGCCTCCTGGCCTCAAGCAATTCTCCTGCCTCAGCCTCCTGAGTAGCTGGGATTACAGGAACATGCCACCACGCCCGGCTAATTTTGTATTTTTAGTAGAGATGGGGTTTCTCCATGTTGGTCAGGCTGGTCTCGAACTCCCCACCTCAGGAGATCTGCCTGCCTCGGCCTCCCAAAGTGCTGGGATTACAGGCATAAGCCACTGTGCCCGGCCGGTGCTATATCTTAAAGAACAATTAACTCACAATATAAGATACTTATCTGGGTCAGTTAGTTTAGCATTCGTTGAGTACTTCCTACATGTGAGGCACACTTATTATTTAAATCTTCACAACAACCTCGTGAAGAAGATGCTATTACTATTCCCCTGAGGTTAATCACCTGCCCAGTTAATAAATAGCAGAACCAGGACTGAAACCTAATTGCAGAGCCTGCATTCAGGGCCCTTGTACTCACCACCCCTCACCCTTTCATAGGACGTAAGCTGGCAGCTCCCTCTTAAATCCCATCTACGGCTCACCTGTCTCTCTGTCTTTTTCGCAAATGAAGTTATTGACGTCTTCACATTGGAAATCGTTCCACTGCCCAGCATAAATCAACCCAGCACAGTCTTCTCCTGGCCCGTGGCCATGACCCCAGTTATCCGGCTGTCCAGCTTTCCAATTTCTTTTAGCAAAACAGAAATTGAATGTTATTTGCACAGTAATGCACAGCTTTTCTTTACTCAAGAGCAGCAGAGAAATATAAAAAAACAAAACTGAAGCATGTCATTTATGCTGGAATGAAAATGCAGTTTAAGAAGCAGTACGTGCTCTTATTTAGAGTAAGGAGGAGCTGTTTTGCAGAGTAATGCGTAATGCGGCATCTCCCTGCAGGCCTGTGATCTTTGCTACCATGAACCAAACTCACTATGCTGGTTCATCACAATGCAGAGGGAGTGGATCTTGCTTTGGGACAGTTAGATGAATGATTTTCTAATGTGTACTGGAATGCTCACTTCTGGGCATGAGTGCATATATGTGTGTGAATATCTATTCATTATGAGGACATGATACACACACACACACACACACACACGGTCCTGTGAGAACCCAGAGGGACCTTGTACATTTCAATATCTTGCCTCTAACAAGTCCAAGAGCCAGGAAGAGAAAGTGAAAGACTTTTGAAATACATTTACAAGAACCTACAATTACAAATAACTGGTTATGATTATCTGGCTGAGTTGTAGAAGGTTGATTGCTTTAGAAAGAAATAGTAATTTAATCTTACTGAAAATGACTCCTACATTTCACTGCCTTTTTTGAGAGAGAGATTCTTAAAAACAAGTTTTCTTTAGGACGAGTTCACATGGGGCTTTTAACTTGGATGCTGCGGCTCGGAACAGCACTTTGCCACAGATAACAGTCCTTGATTCTGTTTCCATGAATCAATCAGGTGTGCTTCCAGACCTACTCTCTGAAGGCTCAATCTTGTCTAAGAAGCAGATTCATTCACAGAAGCTTGCGGCTGCTGCCTGAGAGGACAAGCCAGCCTCACGTGGAGGGTCTGGAAGAACATCTGCAGCAGAGGGTGCTTCCCATAAACAATGACTCATTACTGCACTGGCCACAGAGTGTCCTCAGGTCACCCGAGAAGACAGCCTGTATGGCCCTGCATCTCTGGACAATAAGACCCACAAAACCAGAGGGCAGCGTGAAAGGACAGTTGAAGTCCATAGTCAAAGGATGGGGACAGGGTAGAACTGACTCCCACTCACCAAATGTGTATTTTGGGATTTAAAAAAAATGAATATGAAGGCCAGGCGTGGTGGCTTATGCCTGTAATCCCGGCACTTTGGGAGGTTGAGGCAGGTGGATCTCCTGAGGTCAGGAGTTCGAGACCAGCCTGGCCAACATGCTGAAAACCCGTCTCTACTAAAAATACAAAAATCAGCTGGGCATGGTGGTGGGCACCTGTAGGCCCAGCTACTTGGGAGGCTGAGGCAGGAGAATCGCTTGAATCCAGGAGGTGGAGGTTTGCAGTGAGCTAAGATCATGCCACTGCACTCCAGCCTGGGTGACAGAGGGAGGCTCCATCTAAAAAAAATATAGATATTAATCGAGTGGCCTCAATTAAATAAACCTAGTGATGAAAGAGAATTCAGAGGAAACCATCGATTGGTGAGAGTAAAAATGGGATGCTACTTAGAAGGAAGAGTTAGAAAATAGTCTCACTCACTCACTCACTCACTCATACCAGGCATCCATAGCCCTCCTGCTACGAGCCAGGTATCATCTGGGTGATGGCAACATAGCAGTGCAGAGAAGAGACAAAATCCCAACTCTCAGAGCTTACATAACAGACGAGTCACAATGAGTTCAACATTTCAGCCTGTGACAATCTCAGCCCGACACCAGATAGAGATGAAGTTGGAAGGAAAAGTAGTTTACTTTCACATTTGCTTTTTTTGTGTAACTCTTTCCACCTTGTGAGATTCTTCTGGCGATGTCAGCAATGCCTGAGCAGTTTGATCTTGTGGATGTACATATGTACATTTTATTCATTTCTGCCAGTAATATGAGGGGGTTTGATTCCACTTTTGTTTATAAAATTTGAGATCTATGACTCCTGAATGTATAATGATAGGATATTTGATATTCTTGATTTCTCAGTTAATTGGGAAATTGTATAACTACGACTTCTTTGGGCTTAGAAGTCCTGCTTAATATTTTCCCTTTGCGTTTCCTTTTAAGTCATTTTAAGTTAAATAAATAAAAAGGATGTAACAACAGGCAGAGAAATAACTGAGTGATAAGAAAGGAGATAATCTTTATCATCTTTCTCCATCTGATTTTCCAGGTCACTGGAATTCTTTACATACAGTGCTCAAGGCTTTCCTTAGGACTAAAAGCAGAATGCAGTTCTATGAGCAGAGGTGACTGCAGTAGGCCAGAATGGGTGGAAAGTGGGTAGCCTGAAGGCAGGCTGCAGGGACAATTTATTCTGTGGACCGACCACCCAGAGTCTCAAAGCATCTCTTCAGCAAAGCTAAAATCACATGGAGAGATTTGCGGGAAAACCCCTCAGTCTGCGTGTTTATAATAAAATAGCACATAACATGTCAAATAAGCATAATGTATATATTTTGGAGAAGAATGTCAGCTTAAACAGTGCCTTAACCTCATTCACAGGTAGATTCTGGCAAGATGAATGGCTGAAGTCTGGGGCTCAAAGCCCCGAATTCTACATTATCATATACATGTCACAGAAGTGAGTGGTAGCAGCACATACATGTACTTGGACATCATACTCTGAGTACACCAGGAATCTTGGAAATGCTTGGACTGACTGCTCTAGTGAGCTGGAAACACACACACACACACACATCAAGTATATATATCTAAATATAAGATATTTAGAATAGGATTTAGAGGCTGGGCACGGTGGCTCACACCTGTAATCCCAGCACTTTAGGAGGCTGAGGTGGGTGGATCACCTAAAGTCAGGAGTTCAAGACCAGCCTGGCCAACATGGCGAAACCCCATCTCTACTAAAAAAATACAAACATTAGCCAGGCCTGGTGGCAGGCGCCTGGAGTCCCAGCTACTGGGGAGGCTGAGGCATGAGAATCGCTTGAACCCAGGAGGTGGAGGTTGTAGTGAGCCAAGATCACACCACTGCCCTCCAGCCTGGGCGACAGAGCAAGTCTCCATATCAAAAAAAAAAAAAAAAAAAAAAAATAGGATTTAGAATATAGGACCGTAGAATGAAAGAGCCTGGAAGAGAACCTTTAGCATCCTCTAATTCAGCCTAGCGCAGTGGCTCACACCGTAATCCCAGCACTTCAGGAGGCTAAGGCAGGAGGATTGCTTGAGGCCGGGAGTTCGAGACTAGCCTGGGTAACACAGTGAGAACCCCCCCATCTCTATAAAACATTTAAAATAAATTAGGCAGGTATGGCAGCTGATGCCAGAAGTCCCAGCTACTCAGGAGACTAAAATAGGAGGATCATTTGAGCCTTGGAGGTTGAGGCTGCAGTGAGCCATGATTGTGCCACCGCACTCCAGCCTAGGCAACAGAACTAGACCATCTTAAAAAATAAAAAATAAAACACAAAAAACTAAAAGCACAATGTATGATATTATATGAAGCAGTCTGCATAGACAGAAAGGCAGCACATTTTATCTTTGTGATGTGAAGATGAAAGCTGTGACTTGTAATTGTGATAGCACACTCCCACCAAATGATGTCCTGTGGACAGAGGAACAGAAGAGCTTCTAGTGTGTTTGGGAGATTCTCAGGAAGACTGTCACATCTCTGGTGATCCAAGGTAGGCAACTGCAAGCAGGGTAGGCAAAAAAGCTCCCTTAGCATTCTGCTCTGAGCAGGTGGGCAGTACCCAGGTCCCATATGTGTTCGGGTCCCACAGGTCTAGCAGCAGCCTTCATTAACAATGACAGTGTGCACAATGACATGCTTATACCTACATTCATTACACCAAGAGTAAAAGGATCAGCCCTTTTTTTTTTTCTTTTGAGACAGAGTCTTGTTCTGTCTTGGAAAAAAAAAGAAAGAAAAAAGAAAAAAAGCCAAAGCCAGAATGCAGAGGTGTGATCACAGCTCACTGCAGCCTCAACCTCCCAAGCTCAAGTGATCTTCTCACCTCAGCCTCCTGAATACCTGGGACCACAGATGTACACCAGCACACCCAGCTAGTTTTTAAGTTTTTTGTAGAGATGGGGTCTTGCTATGTTGCTCAGGCTGGTCTCGAACTCCTGGGCTCAAGCAATCCTCCTGCCTTGGCCTCCCAAAGGAAAAGATCAACTTTGACATGTTCCTGCTTTATAGATCCTTTCTACTGTTGGTCTTTCTATTTCACTGCTTTCCAGTCTTTATTATTTCCTTCCTTTGACTTACTTAGGTATTAATTTGTTCTTCTTTCTCTACCCTGGTAAAGTGGAAGCTTAGATAATTGATTTTCAACCTTTAAACAATGCTTCTAATATATGTATTTTAAAGCTATAACTATACCTTTCTAAATACTATTTTAGCTGCACTCCACATATTTTGATATGTTTTCATCTTCTTTGAAACATTTTCAGATTTCCTTTGTGATTTTTTTTCTTTGACCCATGGGTTATTAAGAAATGTGTGATTTAAAATAATTGGGATTTCACAGATATTTTTCTATCTATGTCTAATTTAATTATTGTGGTCAGAAAACATACTCTATATAGTTCTAGTTTGTTTGTTTTTTTTTTTGAGGTGGAGTCTCGCTGTCTCACCCAGGCTGGAGTGCAGTGGTGTGATCTCAGCTCACTGCAACCTCTACCTCCCGGGTTCAAGCAATTCTCCTGCCTCAGCCTCCTGAGTAGCTGGGATTACAGGTACCTGCCACCACACCTGGCTAATGTTTTGTACTTTTAGTAGAGATGGGATTTCACCATGTTGGCCTCACTGGTCTCGAACTCTTGGCCTCAGGTGATCCACCTGCCTCGGTTTCCCAAAGTACTGGAATTACAGGCATGTGCCACCGTGCCTGGCCTTATAGTTCTAGTTCTTTTAAATTTATTGAGACTTATTTTATGGCCCAGAATATAGTCCATCTTGGTGAATGTACCACACGCACCTGAAAAGAATATGTATTTGCAGATGTTGGGTGAAATGTCCCACAAATATCAAAT